TATTTAATCGCAAGGTTGCTTCTAAGGCGAATATCATCTTTGTATCTGTTTTCCAATTTCAATTGAAGGTGAAGTGTACCGGGCAAGTGCATTTAGTCCCAATATTCTATACAACTTTCACTTCAGACTCTTCTCAGATTGTTCAACAATATTTTAACTGCAGCGCACGCAGACGACTTTATTCTTACCTTGTGATCCTATTAATGTTTCCTACGAACTACAAAATTATCGCAAGAAAATTTTCCTTTGGCTGAATAAAGGGAAATGTCCGAGTAGACGATAAAAAAATCTACGTATACAACGTTTATACTGAATAAGATTTGGTGTCCTTTGCTTGTTTTGAAAAACAATAACATCACTAACAGCAATTGTGTAAAATATCTCGTGATTCTATGTTCTATGTTGATCGAAGAGCTAGCAACATAAAAGTTGTTGAACGCCGGCAGCCAAACCTAAAAAGCAAAAGATTCGATTTGCTAATTCGTCCAAGGTCGCAGCTTAATTCAAGACAATTAATGCGTTTTAAATAAAAGTATGCTCTTTAACTCTCGTTTGCGACTATGCCATGCAAGGAATTCTTATTGTTTATCCTAAATGAATAAATTCTTTGACTACGATAGCTAGACTACTCTAAACAATTTTAATGATAATACGTTCTGCGATTCTTCGATGATGTCCATCGAATTAGTTGCTCCGAATACGTATCTATGAATTCAGAAGGACATTCATTCAGCATTCACAAGCTATGCATTTAAGTGTTCGTGTAAGTGTAAGCATTTCACTTTTTCAGAGTGAAGGAGTCGATTTCTGAAAGAAGGATTGACATGTTTTAGATTAGTTGTGAAATAAGATCGCGATTAACGAGGGAAGAGTTATGTGAATGTGTATTGTCGGCTTCGTTTTTATAGCGTATATCGCTTGTAGTGCAAGAGGATTTTAACTTTGTGCGGATGTATGCAGCAGCATCAGGACTTGAAATAGACCCACCATTTATTATACCGATCTGATAAGATTGTCTGTCCATCTGCCCGTCTTGTCTTGTTGTGTTCAACGTATAGAATGCGACGTATATGTGCGATATTTCGAGTGCTATTGAAAATGAACTAGACCGGACCAATTTTTCGATCGCTAACCACATGAAACGCCCTATGAATAAGTTGTACGCTATAACTGTAAGGTGGTGTCGGATATTTAACGGTGGATTGTGGCTGGCTATAATGGTTTTACTTGCTGCTTCCATATATCCTTCGTGGCCCATTTTTTCCATTGTATAATCCGTAAATAACCGACCTGACCGCTAAGTCAGCTCGCTCATTTCCTAGGCGACCAATATGATGCACAGAAAATTTTAGTGTTTTTCCCGTATGTGGCGACGATATACTGCACTTTCTTAATGGTGTTCCCGCTGCAATTCAAGGAGATTCGGACAGTACGCAAGATTCATGCCTTCGAATATAGCCAATAGCTCTAACTTGAGCGGCAAATGGCTTAAGTTTTTTATATTGGAATGTGATTGACCTGGAAAAGTTGTTTATTTAAACTCTTTTCCGAAACCTACGAACAATTAAACTTTTTCGACTTTTTGCTTAGAGCTATAAACGGTACCATTGTCGAGACAAGATGGTATAAATTTTCCATCAGAATTTTTCGAAGACATTATTTGAATAGGTCGATTCGATTGTGGACGACGCCAGGCTAATAGTTGATACGATGAAGTAAATAAGAAAAGCCCACCTAAACGTCTTTCATACTCCTGCAAACCGCTCGCAAATCTTTCGAGCAAAAAAATCTCGTCATGTAAGCGTCAAAGTTGTTTACTTCGGTTGAACAGTTTCGAAGTTGGAAACTACATTGCATGCAAAATCTCGAAAAGTTTTAAATGATAGTTAAAAGTTGGGATAGTTGTGCCGCCACCTGCACATTTTCTCCTGCATGAAAACATCAATGTGAGGCAAATGTTACTCGTTTTCATTTCTACTACACATGATCGCTTATTTACTTGTGTCGAGAGATGTCTATATGAAGGAGTGGCATTCTCTGAATTGTTGTATGTCTTTGTATGTTTGTATTTCACATATTGCAGACGTATCGGAGAATGCGCGAACGCATTGCGTCTTTGTACAATGTTTGCATAGAATACGCGAACATTATGGGCATAATTTTAAAAACAAAGTCTAGAGTAAATAGATTTGTATTCGTAACTATATTCAAATATTCAAATTGCTAAAATAAGCTATGGTTTCATGTTGCTCTGCTTTGAATGAAATGAAATGTAATATAAAAGAAAGTTTTTGAGCACAGTTCGTCAATCTAATAATCACGCAGATAACGATAAGAGAGTGCTTTTTATATTTTGAATTTTTTTTTTTTTTATGTTTTTATAGATTTCCACGAAGAAGTTTATTGACCGTGTTAAAAGTGAAACATCAACGGCCGAGATCAATCGCGACTTCGACGGTGAAAGAAAACAATAATTTAAGTGTTGCAAACAATGATTTGCTTCATTTAGACAAGAAAAGAGTGCACGATGAGTTTAATAACTCTTAAAGAAATCGCAAAGAGCAAACAATTAAGAAGATCGCACATCGCTCCCTCGTAAACCGAATTAATCTTGGATATCTCACTTCTTACTTTGCAAAATCTATTACGACTTATTTCAATTTATTATCAATTTGTGTGAAAAGAAAGATTACAAATAAAGTTTGTCTTGCTGTCAACCTTTATTGCTTGTACATTCGTTATCCGGAAGAATATGATGAAGAATTGGCGGCGGGCGGGTTTGTCGTTCCGGTTCCAAATCTCAAAATCTTTACAAAGTATATAAATGACCGATTAATGCAAGCTTCTGATCGATTTAGTCTCACATTAATCTATTATCCTTTCCGTCTCTTCTTCCGGCCCATAATATGCAAACAACGAAATCCTCAAAATGAAGCAGGCCATAGCTAAGACACAATAATTCGTATTAATTGAAACTGACAACAGCAAATGCTTATCATAGGAAGAGAGAAAGAGAGGGGCGCAGTACGTTAAAAGCTATGAAAAGGACACTAGGTCATTATGGGTGATCGCTGCCGAGCAGCATTAAAAGCGAAAGGGCGCGAGATATGATAAAATGATTATGCAGAACGACGATGCTGCGACGATTGCATGCTACAATGCCGATCAAAACGCCGAATAGAATAATGCTTCACTCCATCTGCTGCATTATTCTCCAGACGTTGCTTCTTCTTTCCTGCCACTTCTCTCAATCAATGTCTTGGGGAAAAATACGAAAATGTAGTCAAGTCTTATTTTTCGTCGAAAAACAACCTGCTGGTGATGGACAATACTTTAAATAAACAAATTTTTGCACAATCGATCTCTAAAGCTTCTTTCTACTCTTAAAGAGTATACTAACTGTACTTCAAATTCGATTTTATAGAAATGGCGGGAACATCTACTCTAATCGATCGAGTTGGCGATTCCCTAATGTTAGACATATTAATTAACCACTGCTATTAAGACCTATAAAATTTTAGCCGCTTTTATTACTGCTTTTGTAGTTTCAGGGATTGTAAGACTCACATCCACACAAATTTTAAATCAAACTGTAAAAGAAACACTGTCGAATGAACGGTTTTCCTCAAAGATTCTAAGAGAGTTTCAGAAATTTTATTTATATGCATTTTGATATTTTCTTTATCTATAAAGACATTATTTTATCTATATTTTCTCTTATCTGTTGTCTATGATCGCGTCGAAGTTAATTGCCTACACAGATATTTCGCAATCCCTAATGCTATGCTATCGTTTTATATATTTACCAATCATATATGTATCTCAATTATTTATGCTATAATAAGCTTTTTAATTATTTCAATATTTCGTCCGCTTTCTTTCAATAAAAATTCATTGACCTCCGACTGATTTCCAAAATTTTGAATATAACGAAGGTTTGTAGTATTTGCGCAATCATTTCTGTTAAATCTCAAATTCATTGTACCGTGTTTGCTATCAATATTAATTAGTAATTAGGCTGAAACTATGCTATATATTTTGAAAAAAGCTTTGTTTTCTGATTTCTTTATTACTATATAATCATAGTTTTTAAAAATTTTTAGGCGAATTTAAAAATTGACACTATTTGCCGTTACGTTATTGCGCTTATTTGAAAATATGCTGAAAGGAAAGAAACGCCTGTCTCGATTACCTATCAAATATTTTGCTAAATTGAAAAGAATATTATACGCTGGCATTGCGAAATCTAAAGTTATTACAAATACCATACATAATTTTAGATTAAATTCATGTAGCTAATATTCCCAGTTTTACAAACATACATGCACGTGTACGTATACCTTAGGATGAGCAGAAATTATCATAAATGGTTGCATTTCGGAAATTCATGATTTATGCAAGCAAATAGTGCATTTTTTCCAGCCATTATGGGTAGGTGTGAATGCCACAAAATCCACCTGAAAAACTGTCCTGCTTGCACGGGCTTGCTAACTTTCTCGATTATTTTACAAAAAAAAAAAAAAGGAACAACTAGCATTTATCGTTATTTTGTAAATGCATTCGCTTCACCTCTGCGACATTATTAATATACCACATTTTGTCCACATAAATTTTTTAAACATTATAATTTGGGCAATTATATCGTACGGTATATTGCTAATAAATAAATAAAGCGCGCTTTCGACTTTCCGTACGTTCGAATACTGAGAGCGTTTTGAATGTTTGAATGCTAACCGATATCGGCATAACGTTTATACTTATGCCGATCACATTCTTATCTAACCTTAAGACGTACAATATAAAGGGGAAAATTTTAATTATTCTCTCAGAACTCGGATGCTTATTTGCGATCGGAATAAGTGGTCAGTACGTTGTACTCGGAAGTTGCTGAGTTATATTAAATGAGAAAAAAATTGTAGCAGTAACAATAGTATTAATATAAAAAATGTATATATATATATTTGTAATAAGTAATATTTTTCCAAAAGATAGGAATGTTTGTCTGCATACATAATATACATGTGTTCAGGTAAAAAGATATATATAAAATATTCAATCGTGGTGAGGCCGTTCTTCTATATAAACACGTACGTCATTATTATAATTAATATCTATGTAAACGTTTGAATTTTTTTTGCTTCTGATAAAAATCTTCCATGGCTCTGTATTCAGTTTCATAAACATCCGGAATTTTGCACCGTATACACTCGTAGTAGACCATATTTATCGATACAACACCATGTAAATGTTGTTCGTATGCGCGCAATTGTTGAAAAAATCCCAAATTCGGTCGTATTTGAGGGCGTATGGCTTTAGTATGAAAAAATGCCTCACGTAGATTCATGCCGGCATACTTGATCAGATAAGCTAAACAAAATGTAGTTGAACGGCTAACACCAGCCACGCAGTGAACTAAAGTTCTTCCTCCAGTTTGACGGACTGTTTCAATCATATCCGTTACCTCGTCAAAATGAACGGAAAGATTGGCGTTCGGTAGATCAAAAGCATTAATGCGTAAATATAAAACACGACAATTAAAATTAGAATGAGGAAGAGGTGTGTCCGGTAGCTCTGGTGCGATGTTTATAACAAAACTGATAGCTAGGTGTTCGAGAGCTTTTCCCGAGATAACACTGGCGCCGCAAAGATACAAAGATGGTAATAATTGCGAAATCCCTGGTATTTGTACAGTAGAGACTCGAAAACTAAAAAAAAACAAACAAAAAAAAAAAAAGGAAAAGTAATTTAAAAATTCAAGTTTAAGCGAATGCGGAGAATTTTCCTCCGCTCATCTGTGCCTGAAGAACTTCTTTCAACCGTAAAAACACAAGTTATTGCATTTTTCTTTTTTATGTGCCATAAATACCTCAGACGATTTATGACAAGGTATGAAGCATAAACAAAAGATAAATTTAGAAACTCGTTGTTTCTCTTGGCGTTCTTCGAATCGCGAGGGGATTTCTCGCGTCAGGAAAGAATTCGAAGCCAATTTTTTTAATGTTCCCCTTGTCCATGTAACACAATGACAGGCAGAAGAAATTGAAGAAAGAGCAAGAGATAGGGGTTGGCTGTGCCGGTTGATCGCTCTCGATAGCTCTGACCAAAGCAAATTTTTACCACACTTGAATTTGAATCCAATAACAATAGCTTCGTACTTCCACGCCTACTCAGGCGGATAACAACTAAGATTAAGAAAGATGGAAAGGAGGTTGATGGATGGGGGGGGGGGGGGGAGGGAAGAGGTTCTTATTTTGCTTATTTTCCATTTACGTAATTGTGAACCTTACAAATACTCTCCACGACGATAGATAACTTAAGCAACGACGATGATCGAGAGTATCGCATGGACCTTCAAATGTTTCTCGAGTGTGCAAACGCTACGGACATTAACTTTTTTTGAAAATGATGAGAAAGTTATGGATTTCCGTTGACTATTAAACTCATCGTCGCTAATTGTTAATTACTTTGTAATGAAGGCGTCGCGTTGCACATCGCCTCTCAAAGAAACATAAATGAACGAATACTTCCAACAAATTTCATCTGCGTGCTTAATTTGGTCTTACGTGCTTTAAGCTTGGCCAATTTGAATTTTGAATTTTTCATTTTTCCCTTTCGCAAGTAAAGTCAAAAGCGTTTTCTAAATGCATTTTTAGGTCCGTCCCAAAAAAAAATTAAAAAAGACTCAAATATTGCCCATATAGGACAAGAACAGTTATTCTGATGTATTAACTGAAAAAATTTCCGATTTAATCGAAGGCTTTCATCCGCACAGAGAGTACTTTTGAAACTAATTTCAAACGCTTTGCTAAGCGGAGAAGCTGCAAGACAAACAAATAGTTTGCTTCACTTTCACGAAAAATAGTTGCACACATCATATGTATATATATATATTTCTAATATTGATTGCGTCATTTCCCTTGCGTTCACTGCCACCTTAACTTACGGTTACTATGATATAATACAATAATATCAACATAAATACGACGTCTACAACACACAAGTGTCTTTATTTCATTTTTCGTCTTTTTTTTTTTTTTTTGTTTTTGTTTTTCTCAAATTGTTATTACTACGTCATAAAAGTATTTGTGTGCCTCTGATTGCATATATTTTGTTGTTTTTTGTGTGTATTTTATTCTTGCCATTTTCCTTTTCTCAAACAATTTCAAATCAACAAAGAAGAAAGTTATTGTTGTGTTAAGGCGAATATTGGATATTCACTACTAATCAAGTCCAAAATATCGATCAATTAAACCAAGTTTTCTTTTGGCACTAAATACGGAACAAACGCATAGAAACAAACAAACGAACGAACAAGACAACTGGACACAACGTTTATATAATCATAATCATAATATACCGCCCATCCTTTTTCGGGCCCGTCTTTGCCCCGTTAAATTATTAGCTGTTACGAAACGATTAACTAAATCAGTTGATTCTCAAAGTTATAGAGTGCCGGTTATGTCGGGCATAGAATCATATCGAAAAGAAGAAAAAAAAACTTATCAAAGAAGAACTGATAAAAATAGACAATTTTTTTTTCTCTTTTTTTTTTTTTTCTTTTCAAATACGAAAATACGTACGTACGCGCGTACATAATACTCACATAGTCGTATATGAATAAATATATGTATGTGTGTAGGGCAGCTTCTGCTTAAGATAGTTTCGGCAATATTCAGGTGGAAGGTGGTGGATATGGACGACGGATAGTTAAATTGTTATGCGAATAACTTTCCTATATGTATATTCATATTTGTTGTTGTTGAGGTCGGAATTTATTTCAAGTGAGTGCGTGTGTGAGACGCTGCAATAATGGGTGACTAAGAAATTCATCTTCTGCTTTTTGTTATTATTGTTATTGTTGTTATTATTGTTGTCGTTGTTATACGTTCGTTCGTTCGTTCGTTCGTTCGTTTGTTTGTTTGTTTTTGTTCTTTTAATAAATTTTTGTAAATTCTCTTGGTATTGAGCCAAATTTTTGTGCAAATATTTTCCAAAACACTTTCACTATATAAAAATATGTTAAAAATATGTTATAATAAAAGCATAAATGAATAGTTTCTTAGATATGCAAACATGTATTAAGTACATCTCTGCCGGTACGAGTCTTATTACCCGTATTTCAACTACTTAACTGCTCTCATCTAACGGATGGATGATATTTCATTTTATATGTAAGGATTTTAAAGGTCACGGTTTGTGGACTTTACCTGCCGAAGTAGATGCATTCGTTTGTCAGTTTGTGTGCATGCGCCTTTTATTAATAACTCATATTGAGCGTGTTAGTGATTTAATATGTATTGTTACCTTTGCTGATTGCCATCAGGAACTAATTGATTGGTTTGGGTTGACATCTGATAGTTGCTTGTTTCCGAAACTTTCATTTCACTATAAGAATTTGTCGCGCTGCCGAGCAGATTGCTGCCCTTTCCCAGATTTGCTGTTTCTCGTGTCCAATTCTCGTTCGTCGGTATAGTGGTCCTTTTTCAAATTAATTTTATTTATTCAATTTTTTGTGATTTGCGTCTTTTCGACTCTGAGTATTGATACTGACTGACATTATTAGAAAAACTACAAAACTTTACGTCTACGTACCTATATAAAATTCTATGTGTACTATGAATATGTTGTGGTGAACTGAGTTACAGTCAGTGGGTGAAATATGGTGGTATTGGTGGTGAATTATAGCAACTGACATAGAATGCGCTGCCCACAGTTAGAACACTTATGCACGTAATTGATGCTTTGCCGCTGCTCACGCTGTGGTTATGGGGTGGCAGGTGGCAGGTGGCAAGTGATAGGTGGTAGGTGGCAGATGGGATATCACCTCTCATCAACCTGTTAATCAAAATTTATTTATTTATATTAATTTCAACATTTAATGCACACCATTCCACAGATTCCTAATTAATCAATGGGTTGGCAGATAAGACGATCGACTATCAAATCAGCAGAACCGAATTGCGTTCCGATTGCGGTAGGACATACTTAAATTATATGTTTGGCCTATGGTTGCAGTTGTAACGAATGCTCAAGCAAATAGAAGCATGGCACTTACCGATCGGTCAAATATCTCCCAGACTGCGGCCTCACTCGCTCCCATTCGCCACTTCCTTCTACCTGACCATCATTCTATTTATACTCTTTACAGAGAAGACTTCCCCGAGTGGCTGGCCGATTACACTTTGTAGTAACTTGTCGGGTACTCACAAATTTAAGTCAAAATGGAAAACATTTTCTTACTTGTTTACTGTATCGTAGCTCTCCTCCGCATACAATCTCTTCATGGCCGTGACTATCTTCTATGTTAAATTCTGCATTGAAAATGTTTACAATCACGTAAGTTACTGATAAAAAAAAAAAAAATTTGCAAAATGTTTTTTTAGCTTTTCAGTTATTCTACGAATGTTCAGTGAATTAAGAACGCCTTCTGTCCCGATTTCTGTCACTGTACATATGCTAGCAAAAAAAAAAAAGAAGAAGAAACGAAAAAAACAGACCAGAGCGAAGAGAATCTCATGCCGAGCAAACGTACATATGATCTTCGTAACGTCTATAATGCGTATTACAGTTTGGCCGTCTTAACCGTGATACGTCAATTTGAAGAGCATTTAATTTATCATACATTTTTATATACACCTTTACACTAACATCCAAACATCTTATATAAAGCAAACAATGTACGTACATTGGATATACTTAGCTGTAGTTTTATTGAGAACAGAGCGAAGCCTCTAATAGTGAGCATAATCTTACGAAAACGCTTTTGAATAAACTTACCCTGAAATGTGTACAAAGGGATGCCTTTAAGCGTGAATTGCTTTCTTGAAATCAAGTTGTACGACATTGATTGTCATTGAGATTAAAGATTTCTTTTTAACAGGTCGCAGAAATAAGCCTCCCCAAGCATCCGCAAGCTTCAACGTATTTGCTAGAAAGCATCGTTGCTCTAGCACACTATTTGCATTTAAAAATTTTGCATTAATTAACCATTAATTTCGATTACAAAACTGAAGTTCGAAGCACTAAACCGTTCCGACGAACACTTTCATCATAATTGGTTCAATCTAAATAGCTACATATATAAGTCTGTTCTATAGAAATTGAGTTTTACATGTTTTACTTTCGCGGTGACCTCGCGTCTTGCATCATTATACAGGTCGGCAATAACGTGTAGTCTCTGTCTAAAAGCACTATTCAGGTAAGAGTAAAGGTGGATGGAAGAGTATACACTTGTACTTTACATTTGTCAAAAACCAAAAAAACCAAAAAAAAAAAAAAATATAAATAAAACGAATAAACAAATAAATAAGACAATTAAGAAACTTATATTCAGCTTTGGTCGAATCTTTTGCACTCATCACTTTTAAATTTAAAAAAAAAAAAAAAAAAAAAAAAAAAAAAAACTAAAGAAATGAAAGAAAAAATTAAATTTGAATACTCTAAAATACAATGGATGGGCGTAGCTGATTTCTTGCATTTATGTAAAAAACATGAGTCTATATGTTCCCAGTTTACGACAGGGCGTAGACGCGTCCATCGAGCAATTTGACTCATCTTCAATATCAATTTGCGGGAAAGTGATTTCCCCAAGAATTATATAGATGGGAAGACGGACACATAGACTGACGGACGGACAAAGGGATATATACAAATCGATTCAGAAACTCATACCTGACATCATGGAGTGTCTCTGCAGCGCTTTCAATACAATAACAACGTTACAATACCTAAAGTGTATATTTTTGTACAAAAGAAGAAAAGCACATAATAACTTTGTGCTCGCGTTAGAGCAGTCCTTTGATACCCATCATCACTACAAGGCAAAGAAATTGTCAAATATTTTGTTAATTGTCTCTGTCTCCGTGTGTTCTGTACGCTCACTTTTTAAAATACCTTAAGAGACATATTTGTATTATGCAGGAGTACTCCTATAATAGTCGTACGTTGTATGTGTTATACTTTCTTTCCTTTTTTTTTTTTTTTTTAGCTATTCGAGATGTTTTTGGAAACAAATCCAAAATGATTTTCAGATCCAATATCTATATTGTGTAGGTAGACATAGGGACAGACATGGCTAAATCGATTTAAAATCTTGCACTTATCAAGCGTATATATGGACTTGAGAGAAAGGTGCATGCTCGATGAAGTCTTTGCTTCGTCACGTGTGGCAAACAAAAGATGGAATCTAGCATATCATTAATCTCAGGTAGTGCATAAAAAATAAAAAATAAAAATAAAAAATTGTCTTTTTTTTTTTTTTTAATTGCTTCTCAGCCACAAATGAAACAATTTTTACTGAAATTTAACAAAGTCAAGCATGAGTAAACGTTCGTGATAGGTGTAACACACCTATGTGGTCAATTTAGCGATATTCGACCGTTTATAAATGAAACGTTTCGAAAGTAACGAAAATCAAAAATCTAACGTTGCTGCGGAACTATTAAAAAGGGTTTACGGAGAATTCTTCGCGCTTTTAACAGCTCTACCTGTTGTAAACAATAAGCGGCCGGAAACCGTTGAGGTACTGTTCAACAGAACGATTATATTGATATCAGAAAGAAAAACATCTTTTAGCAAAAGTCGTGCATGTTATGTAATCGCAATCGTATGTACGAATCTAACTTCTACAGGTTCCTTCAATAAGACATGGCATTTTAAATCAATCTTGCAGCGAACGCGTTAGCTCAGCAGCTGTGTGGCGGCAGTACTGTCTTCACGAAAATAAACATCGGCCACACTCACACAATCGATTTTCGATTAAAAAATTTAGTCACTGTTGTTTGCATACATATCACTGTAACGGTTAAACCGGCAACATTTTTGTTAAGAGTATTTCCCGACAGCATCGCAACTCCAAAAACTGGACATAACTGCTGTTCGTTGCAGTCACAGATGCTCTAATTAATTATTCCTCTTAAGTTTTCGTAGACTTTCGTAGACGCGACAATTGTACCTCTTTACGTATGAATGTCATCTCGATTGTTAAAAAAAAAAAGCACTTGCTTGTTTCTAGCTTCGCAGCAATCGTGCGCAGGATAAACGCTTGAAATTCATTTCTTAAACTTTAGTTTTCACTGGTAGTCGCATTGACGCAATGACAGTTTCAACTTGATAGTTCAAAAACGGCTCGCAATCCTGCAAGGTTCGATAAACTGCCATTCGGTAGCATTCGGTTTGCATCCGTGAGAGTTTGTAGAGTGGTGAGTCAACTGTGCTCATCTCATTCGGCGCCGTTCTCGTCCAAAATCGGTGGGGCATATTATTCCTTTGCTCAACAGACAGCAGCTTAGGTAATCAAATTATCGATTGTTTGGTTTTGGTCGTTTCTTCATCTACCTGTAAGCTCCTGCGCGATCCAAATCTTTTTCGCTGAAAACGCGCGCCCCAATAACCAACGCCACGAATGCCTACTTGTTTAAAATAGGACATATAAATGCAGTAACACTCACATACACTTACATAGTTTGGAGCATACGATCGAACACGATTATAATCCTGACAGCCTGAAGATCATCATGGGTAATATTGTGAAAAGAATGCTTTAGAAAGTGCTGCGACGCGTAGGAGACATAGAGTGGCGGATGTCAATGGAAATTAATAAAGAAATGCCCTAAAGTTGTACCAAGAAGAGGCGCAAATGAATGCGCGCGGAATTAATATGATATGATGGTCCCACGCAAAACAGCGATCCTTAGGAGTCTTAGAGAATACATATACATGAACTCTATCAAATAAATGAAGACTTCTCGAATGACTGACTCTTTCACAAAAAAAATGCATACATTCTCGACCCCGAATGTTGTTTTTTTTCCGTTTTTTCTTTTAAAAAGTTTTTAAACACAACACTGGTTCGTAATAGGCGCAAGTAATGCGAACAATTGAATGGTTTTCAACCCATTCTGCCATGTTGAACATACAAGTCGCATATATTTGTTCTCCGAAGGGAAGTAAGTAGTTCTTATTAATTTTAAAAGTTTTCGAAGAATTCGAAATGATGGAATATTCACTCTTTTGTAATACACCTGTCTATATCTATATCTATTAATATAATGTATATATATCTGCCTATTTGCATATGATTACAATTATAGTACACGTACCTATGCGTGATTGAGTACGCGTTTGTTTTCTCCTCTTAGATTACGCTGCCTTGGAATTAGGCCAATTATGGAGATTCAGTTTTCTAAATAGAGTAAAAACTAAGAGAGAGATTGACGTAGATTAGCGCCCACTTTTGGCATTTCCCCATTAATGCCAATGTATTTTTCGTGTCTTTGTATGATTTATGGATTTTAGTTCATTCAATTTTCGACTAAGACTATCGCAACTTCAAATGTACATACATATATAAGATTCTTTCTCATGTCTTTTTTTATATGCTACTATACTGATGAGAACTTTGGAGATTTTTACACGATACCAAGCTTCTATATGAATATATTTTTACATACACCTCAAATATTCAAAGAATTTCGTCATTAAAATTTGTTTTTTTTTTTTCGTTTTTCGTTTTTTTTTTCTTTTGGCTTTGATCCAAAATTATAAACTATGCAAACGTACGTATACGTACTTATATATGTATGTAATTTGGAAATAAAAGAACGATTGAAAGAACAAACGTATGTACAACTATGGCCGGCATGTTCTCCTTACGCATTTCCTCACCTGAACAAGGAAAATGAATGCACTGCAATGGGGAAATTATTTTCCAGGAAGCGATTGTTCGTCACGTCTTCACTGATTTATATAAAATAGTATTTAACGCGTCTCTGCTTAGTTCCATTCGGCTTCATCTGAGTTCATATGAGTTTGCACATATTAAAGCGGAGAAGTGAACAGACAGACTGAGTTAGATTGCATCTGCAATCTATAGATAGTAGACTCTTGCATACACTTCTTATTCTGCCCATAATTTGAAAATTCTTTAATTGAAAACAATTTATCATATTATCATGTTTGTCAGTCGAGCGTTACGGATTTAATGAACAAATTTCGACAGATAAACAATTTTTGCTATTTATGCTAATCAAGAATATGTGTCGTACAAGTTCTCCGCTTTTTCTTTTTCAATTTTACGCGCTCAAGCAAACATAAACATGACAAGTTACAACGTCGATCATTAAATATCATTTCACTCAATACGAGTTTTAAGCTAACTCAGGCAGGGCATGAATAATGCTCAAAATCATATCTTGCTGCCAGTTCACCTTTGTACGAGAATTCTTATACGGGCAGGGATATGAACAATAGATCACTGTGTAGTTCAGTCCAATAGACTGTAAACTGTAGGTCAAATCACTCCTTTTATTGCCATGCAGCGATTTATTTTTGCTAAGAACATACATAGGAGAATGGATTGAAAAAATGCTCCCATTCTATCCAAAATTCTCTCTTCTTTTACCGGTTTTTATTGAAAAGTTTTGCAAGCCGAAACAGGACTCATTTGATGGGTCAAAGCGTGCTTGTGTAGTGAATTCCGTCAAAATATCTCAAAAGTTTGCGAGCTACACAAGTGGAATACAAAAACACATGAACACAGATCTAGACAGATGGATAGACATATAAGCTAAAAATGTAATTTAGATTTATCTCAAGTTTTTCTCGTCAGTACTACATACACAAACGAGCCCACGAACCTAATATGCCTTGTACTACAGATATGGTATAGGGTCTAACAACTCTGAAGCGAATGGTATCATAAAAGGTACATTCGTCTCACATCGTTTCGGCTGTTGCGGCCGCAAGTGGTTTATGGTAAGATAAGGTATCACACAAAGTCTCTAGTTGGTCGATCAAGATTGTATTCGTTTCAGTTTTCACTTAAATTCACTTAAACGATTAAGTATTTAAGTGTTTATGCATTAGTCTGCAATACGACGAAATATATTTCGTTCGATTCTGTGAATTTTTTCCATCGGACAATGAGCTCGAATACCCGTAATTAGTTGTAAACCGGACTAAGAATTTCAAGCGTAATGGAAAAATGCCTTCCATGAGCTTCCATTGCTGAGCATACTACGCGAAATGATGCAATAAATAAATGCTTATCCGTCCGTAGGGCATGTGATAAACAAGGCATGATTATTGGGTCAAAATGCAAATGTGATTTTTTTTTTTTCGTTTTTTTTTTTATTTTTGTTTGTAGATAGATTACTGATAAACATGGTATACATATACGTTCTAATAAACTTACGGCTAAATGTTTTTTCATATTCACAGAAAGCAGGGTTCGTTAAGTGAAGCAAAAGAAAGAAGAGGAAGAAAATTGGTTCATTAATTTGTTGTTGTTTCATCTTTAATTGTGATAGCTTTGTTTGCGTAAGTGTGGGCTTTTTTGTGATTTAACTCGAGTGCCTTTTGCTCAGGCGTTTTGGCCCATTCTTGCAATTCACCTGACGCCCAAAACCAATAAACGACACAACCGAATAAATAAATCCCGGCGGATATAAAGAAGACCGTTTTCCATTCCTCGCTGCTTTGATTCACCACTAGATGTCCGGTCAGCATTGGACTAACAATACCAGGTATGGTGGCAAATGTATTCCCAATGCCCATCAATACGCTGGCATGTTGCGGTGCTATGTCCAGATGATTAACCCTAATTATAAATATACGCAGATAGATATCAGAAGAAAGTCTTACGATGATTGATTGGATATTTGGCTGAAACAACTTACGCAAATCCGGACCAGGCAAAGGCTCCTAAGCCGACGGCAATTGTTATGCATACCACAGACCACGTAGGATCTAAGAGATACGCAGTAAGAATCATGAATACTGTTTGGGCGAGAAAAGCTCCGCAATTAAAATAGCGGCGAACTTGTGTTGTAGTCAGATAGCCTTTGACCTGAAGCCAGTCAGCTAAATAACCGGAGACACCTAACAGTATGCCCATAGCCAAATACGGGACGGCCGATAGAAAGCCTGTCTTATCTAAATTAAAGTCCAGCGTATCTGAAAGTGTACGATCCTTGTCGTTAAAATTTCTTCTGCGCATTTTCGTCTATTTCTAGTTTCTTACCTCTCAGAAACGATGGTAATTGTGTGAGCAAGGTATAAAAACCCCAGTTCTCAGAAAAATGTGAAGCGATAATTGCATAGAAGGGTAACGAAGTGAAAATCGCTTTCCACGGATGTCTAATGTTGTTGTGTCCTTTACTGCCAATTTTATTCTCTATATAATGGCGTTCATCGGCTGAACAATATCGATCTTTGCCGGGTTCGGCACGTACAATGGCCATCCATAATATGAACCATATGCAACCGATTGTACCGAAAACGTAAAAGACACTCTCCCAACCATAGGTTGTTGCTAATAAGCCCGAAGATGGCATAGCTATCACGGTGCCTGCATAGTTGCCGGCAAATGCAATTGAAGCCATGCGCGAACGTTCGAGTGGCGGCGCCCAACGTGCCCAAACCGCATGTATACAAGGAAATGTTACTCCCTACGTTGTGTATACAAATAAAAAAAAAAAAAAAAAAAACAATAAATTTTTAATTCTCGCATCACTTTCACTTAAGCTGACAGAGTGCTCAGCGCAATTGTGACAAGCCATCGATAAAGTACACTTGCAGCACACGTGTTAAGCATATCTCCGATGATGACTTAACAATCGTATAATGTAATAAAATTGTTATTGAAGGGTTATATTGTCGGGTGACCAGGGGGCTATTGCTACGGATTATCAAATCCGGGACAACAACTATGGCAAGAAAGCACATTGTCTTCGCTTATGACTAATGATCGATCACGCGGTCAGAATAAGGTTTTTAAGGATCTCATTACCAAAGCTATTAGGTTTTCCGCTTCAGTAAGTCTCAGACAAGTCGAAGCAGACAAACAATTGGAACGCTTGATAATATTTCATAAAATGATTTCTAATTGATTATGTTCGTGTGTGTTCGTTTTTTTTTTTTTTGTGCGAACATTAATGATTACATTCTTTAGATTGCTGGTTACCTCAAATATACCTTCAATAATTCGTACGGCTAGCAGTAGTTCCAGACTATGTTTGGCAGCCAGGGGCGTGAAGAGTGTTAGTATTGCTGTCGTACCAATACCGATGCCAAAAACCTATTAACAATGAACAATGAAATATGTGAAAAAGATAAAAATGCGTATTGAAAATCTTGTAGAGTTACTTACGAGATTGCCACCAATTTTTGCGCCAATAAAGCCTCCAATAAACTGAGTTAGAATGTAGCCGTAAAAGAATGAACTCAATATTAATCCCTTTTGCTTTGAATCCCATGGAAAATCTTGCTCCCATGTTTCTTCGCCCTGCTCATTAGTGACGGTACGATTTTCTGTCATGGCTACGATTGCGACGCTCAGATTGACACGTAACGAGTAGACGTTAAAGAAACCGAAAAATGCCAATAAAACTACAATGTAGCGACGTTTCTTCCAAAATTTCCATGAAAGAGGTTCTGCCTCAACAATGTCTTCACTATCGTAGAGCCAGCATATATAATATGACGAAAGAAAAGAGAGAGAAATTCTAATAAAAACCTAACGTTTGCTAATGAAAGATAATTTAAAATAATTATGTGAAACTACACAGTTATTGTAATCATACACACAAAACCAGACGCACACATCCGAGAAATATTGCAGTGACGCTTATTTGATCTTAGTATGGACACATGTTTATATAGTAACAGAGCAACAATAATCGCTAGAGTGCATTCATTTTGATTTATAAAAGTCGCGTGCGAACCTCAACCCACACATGAATTACATATAACTATGTAAACACTTCAAATTGCTTATAACGTGTTTAAATATTTGCATTTGAAAATATTTTTATATATTTAAACATTCATAAGTGTACACGCAAGCTAATGCTTGTACAGCTCTGCCACGAATCTTGAATACCCATCAATGCCAGCATCTGTTAACTATTGCTTCCCGTCCAGTGCGTGTCCTTTAAGCTAACTTTAATATCGCTTATATGTGTGATGACACTCGTAAGGTTAGGACCGTAGATGATGGGGATTGCGCTAACGGATCAATCTTGACACTTGTTTGCTTTGTTTTCCTCCCTTTTTTTTTTTTTTTTTTTTTTCATTTTCACTTTTTACAAAAAAAGCAAAATAATTAATATAACTTAATATATATCTTGAATTAGTGGCCATAACTAGTTTGTATTTAGAGTAGTATTTCTACAGCGTGCGTATATAAAAATCAAGTTTCTAGCTAATGGAGAACGCAATCCTTTACTCGAGGTATAGGCTAGAAAAAAAAAAAAAAAAAAAAAAAACGACAAAAAAAGTACTTAAAAAGTACTTAAGAATCAATAACATTTCTGACGTAACGTATTTAACGTGAAAGCGCCTAAAGCTGTCTTTCAACTCTTTCCAATGAGCTATAAAATATGTCCAGTCAGCTTTTTCATCATTCCATTTATGTTATGAATGAATCTTTTCATTTCCCTAACAGTTAACAATCTTGAACAATTCCTTTCATGCAATTAAGAGAAACGTTAACTATCAACTGTGTGTGTGTGTGGGCTGTGTAAATTCTATGCCTGACTTTGGCCACCTATGCGTTTTAAATGGGAACTGAACACTGATTCTTATTCTTGAAAAAAAAGAAAAGAAAAACACTGCCTGCCGCGTAGGACGTAGCGTACAGAGTAAATGTCCTAATTGAAATCTTCGCAACACATTTTTCCAAAAAGATTTGATATGAAATTTTGACTGAATATTATTAAAGTTAAGGGAAAATCGAACAAGGATCATTTATTTAAGAGAAAACAATAGAGAGTTATGCAAAGGCATACTTTTCATGAAAGTCCGCACATTGGGGGCATACGGAATGCGTTGGTATCCACAAAATAGGCCTACGTGGTCCAGACGCGGTAAAATTAATTTCTATATCAATTTAATGTTACAAATTAATTTCCACCATGAAGTCTTAAAAATTATCCTTTTTTACCATATAAAGAATTAGGTTTCGCTGGATTAGGTATAAGGAAGGGGGGCTTGAAAAAATTACCTCAGCTGACCCAAATTTTTCATACAAATTTGGAATGTGCAAATACAAGTGCAGAGCGAGTTTTGTCGAGAAATTTTGAAAATTGCAATTTTTTATGGGGAATGGTCAGACGAAGTGGACCGATCGAAACCACCCTTAATAGCGTTTGTCGTTGGATCAAAGTACACGCCAGTGTACTAAATTTTACGAAAATATTTCCAAAATTGTGTCCTGTGGCTTGAACATAGACAGGCGGACAGACGGACAGACGGACAGACAAAGATGAGTGTATCTTAAGTCCTTCTGCGTATTACATACGTACGCACGAACATAGTATAGCCTATACCACAAGTGGTGCAGACTAAAAAGAATATTTGAAATATAGATCAACGATTCCACCGAAATATATCAGACCTACATTGGGATAAAGAAATGCCATGGGTGGTCTGAAAAGCGAGTTTCAACTGAAACGGGTTGCAGTCAATCACATTTGTTGTGATAAGTTGTTTGCATAAATCTAGATGTTGCCTAGCAATTTTCCTCTAATAAAACATAATAAACAATTTTCTATTTTAGAGAAATGCCATAAATCATTCTCAGTCAAGATTGTCATGATTCTTGAAAGCATCGAAGATAACAAACATATCGAGAAATCCCATATAAGTGTAAGAAAGTAAATTTATTATCGCATTGGGCAAATGAGAAACTTTATGGAATAAATTTTTCTCAATAAAGTTACGAGTAACGCTTTCTAAGCTAAGCTAAGCTAAGCTTTATATTAGACCTCACTCGCTTGAACGTGACTATCGAAAGGTTCGTGAGAAACCAATATCGCAATCACTTTCCTCATACCAATCTTCTCTCGCATTGTTTCCATTCGTTTTCAAGGTGAAGTAATTTTATTTTGTATAGCTTCCACGCGCGCCACAATAAGACGCGCGTATTTTATTAAATCCCAGCGATTCATAATCATTTTCCGAATCGACTTCAATCTGTATGTTTGTCTTATGTGTTTATGTTTCGACTTTGAAGAAATTTTAATGAACTCTTGTCTACGGCCTAAGGACCAAAGCTACTGAAAACGAATTCGGCCGGAACTTTATTGCTTGCACTTCTCATACAACGGCATTTTTGTTCGTAATTTGATGTAGGATATCTAATTGTCGTCTCTGTTCGACTATAGTATTTTAATCTGTTTAAAAAGTGTTAACTCACTACTACATAAGACAGTTACAAAAGGCTTTCATTCAGTAACGGTGAACTCTCGTATACGAAGTTGTAAGTGAAGGGATCTCGTCGAAGAATAAATGTAAACTCTGCGTTGGTATGGAAACAGTCGCTTAAGGTAAATATCACAGCTGCCAGCTTTTTAAAATACCATAAGAACAAGTAAGAACGTCAGTGTTGTGCAAATTCCGACCAAATTCAATCCAACACGTTGCTCTACTATTTTCGTTAAAAAATATCAAGATTTACATTTTGCTGCTATACCTGCTGGCACACCTGACTTACACTTATAGCTTATATACAAAGTGGTGCCAAGAACAGATCCTTGCAATCTGAACTTGGCACAATAGATGACCAATTCATCATCATTGAAATACTAAAACTTCTTATCTCTTCTATCTTATCGTCATGTAGGAGGTGGTTATGAAAAAAAAAAAAAAAAAGAAAAGAAGAAGAGCTAAATATGACCGGTTTTCAAATATCATGAGTTTTTATTGTATATATGCGATTTTTGTGAAAAGAGAACGCGATACCGAACGTGGTCCAACCTTAGACCCAAACTGATCAGTGCATCATTTTCCATTAAAATAATTCAAAATAGGCTACTTAAAGCGCCCCATTTTTCCATAATTCCATAAAATATATCTACAGCTAGTACTTCTACGCGTAGCATACCAAGCAAACGATACTCTCACCCCCAAACAGAGTAGGGTATAAAAAGGCCTCTACGAAGTCACGGCAAATGTATGAGAACGACATGAGGAGAACGACGCGGCTACCTCAAGCAAGCATATATATGCTAAAGAATGAAATACTTCTTCCGCGATTTGTTGATTTTTTATTATTTCTACTCTGTATACTTTTTAATTAGATCCCTATGACGTATACCAATGAACATTATGCATCGATTTAAATGTGAACAATAATGATATCGGATTACTTACGGATCTATATAATGCGTCGGCTCCATTTGGCAATTACTGATGTCTTTCTTCACCTCTATCTCATTTATTTATATAGCTTTATATGCGTATTACTCCTCCACAACCGGTTCGGCAAGCTTTATTTAATACGTTGTTGTCACAACAGCATTAACGGTTCAAGGAATATTTGCAGTTTCTCTCTAAACAAAATTATTTAAATATTAACATATTTGGACAAGTGTTAATTTTTGTAAAAATTCCCCTACAATTACTGCAATACAATGATGATGATGATAAAAAAAAAAAAAAAAAAAAGACAAAAAGAAGACAACAAATTTTTTTGCCAAGAAAGCAAGTGTTAAGGGTCAACGAAAGACTCTTTCCGTACTTATAGTTGTCAAAGGCAAAAGTCAAAGGCGATCATTGCAGAACTATAATCCCGCTCTAAGCACAAATAATTCGCGAAATTGCACACCTAGTCCCACAGTAATAACTCAAACGTTCAAACGTTGAATGTGATCTTGACATTGATTCGTAATATTGTATAATGACTTACCCTCGAATATATTTTCCTACAATTTTGTTGACGTTCTTTTTGCATGCTTTCAAAGAATTCCGGGTGAGAACTAATATTGTTTGTCTAAGCAATCTTTATAATGAAAAGCGATACGTTTTGGTTTCTTTCATGTTTTCATATAGTTACATGCACTTGTACAAATAAATGTACACTATACGTATGCAATAATAATTGGATGTAAAATGCAGGTGTATATGAAAGAAAATGATCATTTGATACATACATGATATATATATATATTTGATCTGATTTTTCTCGCATTTCAATTTTGATTTTCTAGTATTTTTTTAGTAAATTTTTTTATTACTAATACATATAAATGGTAATATAAAAGCGAATCGAAGGCGCCCATCGCCCCCCGCGATGAATGTGTAAAAAACTTGTAAAAATCTTCTTCCTAGCTATGGGCCATGCCATCTAATTTATCGGAATCTAATTTTTTTCCTGTACTTACTTCATGGCCCTGGTAGCAGGTTGAAATTGTGATTGATTTTAGATTTTTTCTAATAATCGGTTCGCGCTGTTGTGAATATGATCGAAAGCGAGTCACTTCCACTTCGACTTAATGTCGATCAAACTACTCTAAGAATGTTGGATGTTGGATGTTCGTGGCCAATTTCAATCATACGCATTAATTTTAACAACAATTTTAACAAGGACAGAAGGACGGACAGACAGAACGCGATATATACTTTCTATAGTCATTTTGTATTGTTATAGATCGTAGATTGGTATATGTATGGTATGGCAATTGTATACGAAAGACTTGGATTTACTGGCTCTTAAAATTGCGATTCCCGTAGGTGCTCAAGTTAGGCGTCTGTAAAGGAAAACAAAGCCAGCAACGACAAGGAAGCAAATCCGGTTCTTCTTACGTACCTATCGTACCCATCAGCAGTATATTAGGTGTTATTTTAAAAATATATGTCGTTTTTACAGTAAATAATACAAAGCAACAAATTATTGACTTTTTGCTGAAATTCTAATCTTTACAATTGGTCATAAAAGTGTTCAATGTGAGCAAGTGTTTGTTTAAGATTTAAGATATTTTTCAACCAATTAAGATTTGTTGTCTGTCTCTTCACTTTAAAATAGATAAGTGATTGCAGGGCTTAGGGAAAGCATCAACGCTTTTGTTGATAATTGCCAAAAATATCTGTATATATATGTATACGATGTGCTTTCAGTGCAATAATTCCACTTCAGCGATCTTCGAAATTGTTGCTGTCATCTTAAAAATGCCTTTACCCCAAATTCGTTAGCACAGGTTACTGTTCGCATCGTGCAAGTGATATTAATGTTTAAGGAAAATTGCCTTAAGAGTATAGTTCTACATCCCATGCTCTCTAGAGTCGAATCCATAAAAATATCTTCAGCGAACCATGTTTTATTATGTGATATAACAAAATGATGTCGAATAATAACATTCTGTCCGTCTGTATGTCTGATGTGTATCCAATTATTTTTGTGTGCAGTCTACTGATCAAAATTTAATGAAACCTGGCGATCTGAATTGGGGGAAAAAAGAATTCTTCGACATGGTAAGCAAGTGTACAAAATTTAAACGAGACCGAATCATTATTTGTACCCCTCCCATATAAACGTACTTACATAAAGTAAGCTTTTATACAACAAGATCAAGATCAAGTTGTTTATAATTTATTGCCAAGCTAAGGCTGCGTAGATCTAGTTTTCGGACCCCTTTTCTCTTATTAGATTTCTCATGAAGGGTAAGTGCTCAGATGGGCAACGAGGCGTAATTTTTATTATTTTATGAGTATTGTAGGCGACTTGTTAATTGTGTATAGGGTGTGATAGTGGTTGGCGTAGACCAACTATAACGTTTCAACTTATTTATTTGCTGTTTGTTATTTGTTATATGGAAAAGAAATGTACAAAGTAGAGCAAAAATAGTTATATGTAATGCACTTGAACCAGTTTCCCAGTTGTTGTTTATAAGATTATCATCGTGAAAATGCAATTTTTTCTTTGGCAAACGATTCCACTTTGGCATTTTGTCTTTCCCCCCTATAATGAAAGACGATATTTCCAACTCCCATCATCGTAGGACATAAGGGTAATAAGTATGCCCTAAGAGAGAGAGAGTGAGAGAGAGAGGGTGCAATTTTCGTCATCGCTTATAATAAATCTAGAGATGTTGTGCGTTAATAAGCACGTAAAGTGTTGCAAGTAACCTCTCGGACTAATCTCGAGCAACATATATATATATCTTTTAGATGTTGTTGTTGCAATATAACATTAAGTAGACTCTTCAACATGTTGAAGCCAATCAATCCATTTCATATAGCAGTGTGCCATGCAAACAGCAATTGGTTGCAAGGGAGAAAAGCATCAGAATTTTAACCCATCCCTCATTCTTCATCTAACCTCAATCAAGATGATGACGTGGGCATCGCAAAAGCGTTACTTCATCAACTAATCCTTTTTTTTCTGCTCTTTTTTGCCATTACTGCGCAAATATTGAAAAAATGTGAAAGTCTTTAAATACAAATAAAAACAACAACACAACTATTTTAGCTAAAATTGGTAAAGATTTTGAACGATTTCAACGTTTACTGTTAAATATTAATCTACCGTTTCACGATAATAGACTTATTCATGTAGAGACGGACGTCTCAAGATATAGCGTCGTATAAGAGAAGAGAACGAAAACTTGATCCGATCCGAAGCATTCTCAATAGTGTTCGTCGTTGAGCCAAAATATATCGGCGTAGTGCGAGTTTCTTCAAAATATCGCAAAAATTGCGACCTGTCGGCTGAATGTCAGAAAACAAGACAGACGGCCAGACAGACAGACAGGCAGACGAACACAAAAGCTTAGATCGATTCAGAAATAATTCAAGCTATATATCACAATTGGTGTGTATGGTGGGTAGGGTATAGCAAATGAAATTCGACAAATTTTCAATTATTATCTAAAAAAATATTTTTTTAATATTTTTTTTTTTTTTTTTTTTTTTTTTTTTTTTTTTTTTGCATTTGTGTGTAAGTAAGTTTCTCGTTCAATTATTTCAAGTTCGCGAAAAGAGAAATCAATCACAAAACTTCTTTTCACTATTTTAACGCACCGTTCACTCTTAATTTACGCCGATTATTGAAATTTGTCTGGATTATTATAGTCGAGCGTAGATTTGAGACCAGACCTTCAAGAAATTAATGCGGATTACGAAATAATTTTATGCGATTATCTCTTAGTAGAGTAGAGTTAAGCGATTAACTGCGCTTTTAGTGGCGTTACTTCGAATATGAAAATGATTTTGATTTCCTATAAAGTTTTTCTGTATTTTCATTTATTTTTAATAAAAAATACTTTATATGAACTACTTACGCGATTTTGTGAATTTTGCACTGTTAACGAAACGCTTATTATATACTGTTCGAAGCTTTTGAGTCTTGTGAAGCGACTAAATCTGTACGAAGCACAGTTTGTGTTACCTACTGCTTTATTTTGTTATTATTATTAGTTACTCTACAATGCGAACTGGATCTCATAGTTGCGAGCGAGATTGCAAAACAAACGATCGTTATAATGACATTTAATTTTGCCCGCTTCATGTGTTCATAAATTTTTAGTTTATTTATTAGTTTTTACTTTATTTTCAATTAAGAGAATTTTTTATAAGACATCGCGCATGCATCTAATAGCGATTTGCGTGCATCGCTTGTGCAAGATAAATGCGTTGACTTGTCATTATCAAAAATGATATGAAATTGTCCTACACGGCAAGTGCATGAAGTTTCCGTAAATTTGCCGTAAAGCCAATGAGTCCATCACCCCGTTACCTAATCACATAATTATTAAAATAAGATAAGAACTGAATTACAGACACGTGCACACTTGCATACATTTGTACACTCCTACAGTTGAAGATTACTTTATATCGATTATGTCGCAGTAATTGCTCAAAAATCAGTTAATGCAGTTGACAAGTACTTAAAAAGCGACAAGAGAAGAAGAAATTTTTCATTTGTTTTTTTTTTTTTTTTTTCACTTAATTTACGCAGCTCGAGTATTTTTATTTTTTTTTTCTTTTTTTACCGCTCGAAATATTTTATATTTTGCATAAGAATTCGTTTCGGGTGAATTATAAATAAAACAGTGAAGGGTGTATGGAAAATGGATGCTCCTGCTATTGATTTCACCCTTCCCCCGGATATTCTACGCCTAACAATTGGAGAGCCCATGTATATCACAGACGAGGAATTGGCGCCACCGCCACCGCCACCGCCACCACCTCCCAAGAGGAAGAGGCCTACTAAAGCCGAAAAAATGGAGAGACGTAGACGGGAGGAAATTAAATTTAAGCAGTTAGAAAAGCGCGTAAGTCTTACATGTACGAGTTAATAACTGTGTGCGTGTAATATGCGAAATGTTTGCCCGCAGGAAGAGCTGAAGCGAGAGCTTGCTATGTCCAAGAAAAGCGCTAAAAAGGCTCAGCAAGGTTGGGAAGATATGTGTAAGGGGATTAAAATTAAAGAATTACGCTCAGAGTTGGAAGTAAGTAAGAATCACAAGAATCACCCGTTTTGAAAATCATAAAAATCTTATCCGCACCATTCCGCAACATTTCGCCATAGGAATGGGAAATTAAGACAGGTCGGATATTAAAACAAAAAGATGATAAGATCGCTTTGCTTATCGATGATATCATTGTCACCGAAGAGATGCACAAACGTAACTATTCCACCCAAATACAAGTGATGGAATTCTTATCAGGTCGTTTGAAATTTCTTAGTCTCTCTTAGTTCTTTTGTTTAAAAAAAAAAAAAAAAAAAAAAAAATTAAATCCCGCTAATATGTGTGTTTAGATGCGATGCGCGCTTTTCATGAGACGGCGAAATTGCTCTACGAAGCACAAGCTTCCGACATGATGCACGAGTTCTATGATGAAATTAGGGACAGGGACAAAGTCACAAATGACATTAAAGTCAAATGCGAAAATGTCATGCATGCAAACAATTTGGTGGTCGAGCATCAGATGTTATCCGACTATCACATATTTTTAGATAAGCGCGATGATCGCGTTAATACGGAAATTGAAAAGCGTTACCGTTTGCGCGAATCAATTATAACTAAAATGAGATTTTTGCAAAAGCAGTTGACGACCTTCCTTGAGTCATTGCGGAGCGCCTCACTCGACGTGCACAAATACGAACGCGTCAGTCAGTTAATGGAGCGTCAGAAGAATTTTGTCGTTGAATCGCAAAAACTAAATGACGTTGAGGCGCGCAGCTCTCGCATACATATCGATTTACAGCGTGATATACTGCATGTAGGCGCCGAAGCCCAACGAAAAATTAAGGATTTGCGCCTAGAGCACGCCTACTTCGTGCAAATGCGTAAGAATATTGAAAATGAAATGAAACAGGACCGTCAAGAGACATACGAAAAACTTAAAATCCTGACATTTCGTTGCTTTCAGACAAATAAAGTAAGTAAATGCAATTTTTTTAAAATGGCAATCGAAATTAATTTTGCTCAATGATTATATTTATTTTTGTAAATAGAAATATAAAAAATTAAAGAAATATGGAGAGTTATTGCTCTCATTGGCTGCGAACTGCAGAAAATTGCAAACGGAATCTGAAAAAGTTGTTCCATGGGGTGATTTCGAGGAGGCCATTGATGTCAAGGCCGACCAGATTGCATTTAAATTGAATGTTTTAGATCTAAAGTCTCATGTCGATCTCGATGAAAAGGTGCAAAGTGCATTTTGCAATTTTCTTTTCTTTTCTTTTACTTACATATTTTTCATATTTTTCAAATTTTTTTTTTTTTTTTTTCGCTTTCTCATCGCAAGGAGCTGGATGCCCAAATCCAATTGATGAGCACTTTTTGGCGACGTCAAGCTCTAGCTGAGGCTCAAATCGCTTTACTGAATGAGAAGAAAATGAAACTCGAGGCAGATAATCAAAAGCACATCAATAAAATTAAACGCATTAACAAAGTCGCCGATGTCGCCGAGCTGACTAAAACTTTGACTGTCGATTGCATTTGGCCAGAACATAAAGCACCTCCTGCACGTTGCACCCAATATACGTTTGTCCGACCACTTTGAATTTTTATTATTTGAATTTCTTTGATTGAGACTTTACACACAAAAAACATGTAAGAATTTTTGACATGAAATTTCCATTCAGTAATATCCAAATAAAAAAAATAAATAAATAAAAATTCAAATTGCAGCGTGTATTAAATTATTGCTTTGGATCGTAGTTAAGTATATCAAAAGTAAGAATTTTATAGAACGACACAGACCAATCGTTGTCTTGACCGTTATCGAACGGGCCACGGGAATTTTGCGTGTAATCCCGGCGAAAACGTATGAAAATTTCGGCAAAAAGTATTCGATGCGGCACGGCCAACACTTCGGTCGGCGTCCTAAACTCTGTATCGATTATACGCAACACTTCATTGACCTCCACCACCTCCTCAGGATTGTCAAAATCCTTGGTGTTACGTAACCCAACGAACAGCATATCGATAAAGCAAAATTTTCGACCTGCAAAATAAATAAATAAAGCATTTTTGCTTTTGATCTCTTTGCTCGATTAAATTAATTGCGCTTACCGTAATTATGGCGTGTGGCCACTTTCATAGGTATGGCCCGTCTCAAGTGTTCCGGATCGAAACGCACTAGTTTGAGCCGTGTGTCGTTGCGTGATAAAACCATATCCCTAGTTATCTGCTGAAAGCCAATGGGTGTTGTAAATCTCCCAACCTGTGTTGTATTCTGATTACGTATAATGTCGGTTAAAACCACGGCTGCCTAAAAGTATATTAATGTATATGAATTTAATATTAAAAGGTAGCTTAGCTTAGACATCAATCATCAAATAAATGCAAACAATTTAATTGTGAATGAGATGAGTTTTTCCGCACACGAGCAAAAAATCGAATAATTTAGCTTTAGTGACTGCCCTTGTTACACGTTTGCACGAATGAGGGAATGCACATTTTCGTCTCGATTGCTAAATTTTACTCCTTGATTTTGCCTGACCTGGGTTGCAATGTAAATATGTGACATGTATGTGATATATGGATATATATATATATATATATCCAGGGATATATATATATATATATATATATATATATATGTATGCTTAAGATTCTATACGTATAGGCATTGTAAATGTATAAAATTACCTGCTTAGAGCCCCTTATAAATTCCGATTCCACAAAATCACGATCCCAGAAAAATTGCAGTTTAAGAAGATTCAATTTGGTGATGAAATACTTCCAGGGATTGTGGAGATAGACCAACTTCGGTATGATTTTACGTTTCTCATTGTTCTCTTCCATTTGCCGTTTCCAATTGTGCGGTTGACGGGTATAGTTACTGAAACGGACTTGAGGTGGCCGATTTTGATTAACATTACAATATTGAAGAAGTAACTCGGGAATTGTTCGCCTTAAAATCGAATTCTTATTGAATATATTATAAAATTTCGACATTTTTCCAATTTTTTTAAAATTCTTTATTGAAACTAGAATAAATAATTTGTAAAAACTACAAAAAAAAAAAAAGAAAATACGCTTGAATGAAAGCAAAGGCAAATGTATTAATATCTCCTGAATTGAAATTTCAACGCACTCTACAATATTCATAAATACAAGTTTCTGAAATTGAAATACTTTTCGAACGTGCCAAAGTGGTTTACGTTTTTAAAAATTATGTTTTTTGCGTGACAAAGTTCACATTACGATCAAAGAAAGCCAACATTTCCTGAAACTTAAACTAACTTATCTTCAATTCAATTTCTTACTCGGCCCCACACTCCCTCCATACATTTTAATAAATTATAAGGAATGTTATTTGAAAGATATTCAAAACAAATCGAATGTAAAGAACATTAATTATTAAAGTGGTCTCGTGTTTTAAGAGAAATGCAATTCAAAATTTTCAAATGCGTTATAGGACAAGTTCGTCTTATTAAAATAAATTTTGTTTACTAATATTTGCAATGAATCTGCAAACTCAGAACCATACAAAATTCAGTTCTAAGTTTAATCGTTCGTCTGCATTCGCTTTTTTCGAATATATTTGGGTGGAGAGAGTCGCTTGTCTTACCCCTCGCATGCTGCGAAATGACAGAGCAAATTGCAATCAATTGTATAGTTCAGCACTCAAACTCATAACCAACAACAACAACAGCAAGCACTTCATCCCGATTTTTTAAACTTCTGGACAGAACGACGGACAGCTTTCGAATCGCTCTCAACCTCGAATCCTCTTTACGAATTTACACTCATGTACGTTTGCTTGAAGGCTATAGATTTGCAAACGGATGTGCTTTGACGCAAGCTCCTTCCAGATAATATATATTTTCGTACAACATACTCTAGCGTTTCTAGTTAGAAAGTTATATACGGCGGGGGCCGAATCTCGCGTACCCACTACTATGCTTTTCGCACGCTACTCTCAAAGTTCTTTTATTTGATGCATGAGTATGGATCGCTGGTATTATTAAGAAGAAAAACTAATCGCGTTATCTAATTTATTCATTTTAGAATTAACCCATTTTTAGGCAGATAATATATTTCTCATTTAAAGGATGTACACAATAGTTTTAAGCATTCTGTCTTCTTTGCCTTACGATAAATAAGCATAAAACCTTAAAAAAGGGGAAAAAAATAAAATTTAATTACTTGCAACTTATTATGTGTACGGCCGATTGGTTCCGTTTATAAACATAAAGAGTAGAGTGTTTGGCAAAATAAATGCGGGAAATTTCAGCCTTCGAGCTTTAAAAGTTGCCAAGTAAAGAGCAAGAACTCAAAAATTGTTGTTAACATAAACTGCGTTGCGTTCAGTTTACGATCCACTGCCCGCTTCTACTCCGATCAATTTGGCCCATTTTTAATACCAACCTAAGGCCGTGCAAAGGCTTTCAATGTTTCTACAAAATTCGAAGTCGATATCTTCATTTTTACGACCAGGAGTGTGCCAACAACAAACACCATACAAACACACTGACGGACAGACATAAGTAAATGAAATCAGAATTTCACACCGATCAAGAATATGTAGACTTTATAGGGTCTCTGAAGCTTCCGTTTGGGTATAACATACCCAAATGTACAGGACTCTTGCCTCCTGACGATACTGAATGCATCTAAGCAGATCTCGTTGTATTGATTCTGGCTTTTCTCGGCCGCGTACATTGATTTGAAGAAATTTTATAAACAATTATTTTATTTTATATAATAAGGAAAATGAAGAAATTGCTGCCTCTCGGTTTGTGTTGTTACGTGCGAGATAGTGGCGACAGTGACTTGTGATTTCAATTTTGAACAACGAAGATTTGACTAAAATCTGAAAGATAAGTCATATCCTTCGAAATTGAGTTTTTGAACAGAGAATCATTGACGCATAAATAGGGAACACTTCAACATACCTGCAGAGAAATACTTTTATTAAGACTTTAAAGAAAAGAAAAACTTTTACTTAATACCTTTAATTATGTAGTTGAAAAAATAAGTAAATAAATGAAAAATTCATTCAAATTTCTTATTATTATTATTATTATTATTATTATTATTATAATTTTTATATTTTACATCACTTATGGAACAACAGTCGATCAAGTTTGCGTGGATGTATGCAGCAACCAGAAGGACTTGACATAGACTCATCTTTTATTATGCCGATCGATTCAGAATCACTTTTTGAATCAATCTAAGCGTGTCTGTCCATCTGTCCCCCTTGTATTTTTGTGTTCTAATCGCAATTTTTTTTAGACATATTGAGGATATTTGGTATATGACGTGTCTTAGCCCAACGACGAGCACTATTTAAAATTATATCGGATTAGTTTTGCGATTCCCTCCTATATAATGCCTTGTTCTGAAACGTTGCTATATAACTGTACTAAGCGAAGTCATTTAAGGTATTTAATGGTGGACCGTTGGCATCGAACACAAAGCGTTTACTTGACGAAATTTTCGAATTTTTTAAATATTTTTGCTTGAATTAAGATCGAGACCTTTGCAAAACTTTAATATATTCTTGCGTTGATCACCTATTTATGACCTTTACTAAATGCTTGGGATTATTCTTGTGTGTCATGAAAACCTAAATTTATTAGCATAGACTTAAAGGCATATGGCATATGATTGTATTTGTTAGAAATCTGTTCATTTTAACTCTGGATACCCCTCCATACACACGATTGCACTATGTCCTCGTATTTGGCTTCTAAATTTCTAAATGCACTTTTGATTGTGCACTACCTTGCGCGATTTCGGGCGAAGCTGTAAGCTTCAGTCGTCTCATTTTACTCCGTTAATTTTTGGCCTCTTTGGCTGATAATTTCTTCCATAGTTATTAATATGTGCCTATGAATATTCAATTTTCACAGCAAGGATCTGTTTTTGCTTAGAAACGCCTTCGAAGACAATGTGTCTGGGATGAACACCTTACCATTTGTCTTCGCAATTGCTCCAGAGGATTTAAATGACTTCTGAGTTGGTTTTAAGCATAATCGCTTACAGCGCAATACAAGCAATAATTCCCTTGATTTCGGCTGACTTGTCTTACTCTCTCTGGCATTATCGTTCCACCTTAATTCTTTGTCTACTCTCAAGCATCATTTTCATTTTATTTATAAATAACACCAGCATAAGCATTTTTTGAAATTACATTTTACTCCTAGCGTAGCCATAACTTAAATTACACTATTTTGTTATTGATTACTAACGGAAGCATTTGGTTAACTTTAACTTTCACTACATAAGAAGCATTTAAATAATAAAACAATCAATCAAGAGGTCGAGAACATCTTTCAGACTAAAGCTGAGGGGACTATAATTTCTGATTCATTAAATCTACCTTTTCAACATTGCTTGGTACTCCGCGATTCTCGCGCCACCAAGTTTGCACACTGCGCGTACACTACAGGGTAATGAAATTGCCTGAAACGTTGCAACTTTTTATTAAATTAAATGGCATATATATATTTATATATATAACTATATAAGTTAATAAAGTTTATTCCTTATCTATAAAAAAGATTATTTTATTTCATAGTGAAAGATCGCAAGAAATTTTCGAATTACCTAACAGTTGATTCCATTCAGGTTCACGTTCAGGTCCAGGTTCAGTTTCGTATTGGATCGTATTGGCCAAACATTGTGACTAGATATATCAAATTCCGATTGCGAAAATATTTTATATTGCTTGGACTTAGAATCTTGTACTGATGAAGAATACATATATTCTTTACGTTTCTATGCATGTATCTTTAAGCAAATACATCGAATATGTGAACTATCGTACTTTACTCTACAACACATAAGCCATTCAATGTTAAAGGCTTGCAAAATGTATGTATGGATGCGTATACAAGTATACATAATATAATGTATATATAGTTAATTTGTGTGCGTGCGAGTTTGTGTGGATATGCATAAAAAAAAAAAGCATTCCTAGTTCATTTGTCATGAGTCATGAATAAATAGCCTTGAGAAGCTAAGACCGAAAGCATTACTTTGCGCTCTTTATTTCGTTTTTAATTTTTGTTTAGCTACGGCCAAAGTGGCCGGTCAATGATGATTTGCAGTGACTCGCTGTATCGCATTGTATTGTTTAAGCGAAAGATTCATTCAAACAGGTCTGGTTTTCTCGTTTTTATTTATATCATGCCCGCAACGAAAGGGTACATTAAACTTCACATTCCATGTATAACAAGCAGATATAAGTTTGGGAGTCTTCTTACAAAATATATATGTTTAGTTAATAACCTGGCAGTCTGACTCAATTTTATTATAACAACCATTATGAATTTAACGTCCATTGCAAATACAAAAATTGGCGCAGAGAGATAAAAAATATGTTCGCAGTTGCTGCGTAAAATTTTTCTATTAAAAATGGGCAAAAGTGTCCTACGGCCACGCTGACGATAAATAATACGTTTAAAAATAATAAAAATAATTTGTGCTTTAGACAAACAAACACAATCTCATGAGCTATAAATCCGATACAGATAATAAGTTTAAAAGTAATCCCATTGAAAATGTTTAACTTCGGTTAACCTGTTGCCTGACCCAATGTCGTTTCAATTTTCTTTCATACCGTTTTTACCGTTTTCATTGCCCATATCACTTTACCACATTCACACGTTTCTAATTACATCAACATTTTGAATTATTTCCAAAAATTAGGACAAACATGTAACGGTTGTTTTCCAAAGGTAACTCAACCAAACGATTTGTAAGCCGAACGCGAATTTTATCATCATTTTTTTACTCATTACTCTTAGACGGATAAGCAAAAATTCGTTATAATAGAATAGAGTAAAAAACAAGAAAAAAAAAAAAAAGAC